CATTATTTCCTTTACTTACCTTTATTTATTTATTTTTTACTCATGTAGGGTGATCAAATTACAGTGCATTTACATAGCAAACAGAAACCCCACTTTAAAAATTTAGATGTTGAAAATTTTCACTTTTTTATATTTGTGATCTCTGCATCTTAATTGATAGTGACATGACAAAAAAAAATGAAAAAAGAAAACTATTTCTTGAAGAAGTGCATTTCTGTAGAAACACCAGAAAGGTAATATAACCAATGAATAACCATGTCAAAAGTCTGTCTTCATCAAAAGATTGTGATTTTTTGTGTACAATGGAACCAAGAATTTTCTATCACAAGCTTTTTCTGGGAGGAACCAAATGGTAGAGTAATTGTCCATGGTTAAGTGTAATTGGCAAAAGTAACCAACAAACGAAATTGACAAAGTTTCCAATAAACAATGGCAAAAAAAGAAAAGAAGAGTACAAAAATAATACTAACCAGGCAATATATATATATATATATATATATATATATATATGCAAGACAAAATAGAGCAAAGCAATAGTAATAAAGCAAAAAGTTCACAAAGTAAGAATGGTGTTAACACACACAAGGGATACAGTCAAGTTATTATCAAATTCTAACTTCAAGAGAAAAAAAGAACAATAATATGGAGGCTGAGACTAAGAAATGGTCTTTTTTTGGTTAAAAAGAAATCCCAGCTTGCATTTGTATGATTTGTCTATAAATTTGTGGTGGGGACATTTTAAGTGCTCATTCCCATACAGATTGACCCTTCCCCTCAATCAAATAGATGAGTTCACTAATCTCCTTCTCTTTTTCCCCATCTTTGGGAGTCAATAAATATATACAAGATTCATATAACTATTTGCAACTGTTTTTTTCATTTTCCTCTTTTTTGTTTTGTTTAATATCTCAAAACACTTTTCTTTTTTTGAATCTTGCATTATTTCACTCAGTTAACTGAGATTTTCTGCCACATGTAGTTTTGGTGGGGGATCAAATACTAAGAGAATTTTCTTTAGTTTTTGTAGATATATATATTTCATTGTATAAAATCATTGGGGATTAGTGTTTTTGCCCCTCCTCCAAAAAATTGAAGGTGGGAAAGTTAACAATTTGGTTGCATAATTATTTTCTCTTTTACTTATATGTGCTACCTATTCTTGCTGTTGCTGCTGTTGGAAATGTTCAAGTGATGTGAGTTTTGTTTTTTGGCAAACTCTTTGTTTGTAATTTTGTTGTGTCTGATGAGGGATTATTTTCTCATTGTGCTCTATCAGTATATTTGTTTCGGAACATGGTATGGTATATTTAAATATTCTAGAGTCATTTCTTTACATCTATACTTATCTTGACATGGCATTTGTTTTCATCTTCGATTATGTTGAGGAATATTGGCCTAATATGTGACCCTTGAAAGCCTTCTACAATTTATTGCAGACAATGAATTTTCTTTTTAATGAAACACAATACAGGATGAGTCAAAAAGTATGTTTATGTCCAAAATATTTTTTGTACAATTAAAAGTATAATTGTAACGGCTCTTTTTTTGTTTGTCAGATAAATTTTGTGAGGTTAAGAAAACTTTGTATTTCAAAGTGTCCAAGATTATGTTTGAGAGTTATATACAGGAGTTGGACAAAATAATTAGAACACTTATTAAACTCAAAGAAAATTTATTTAATATGAAGTTGGTCCTCCTTTAGCCTCACAGACAGCTTTAATACATCTAGGAATGGAATCATACCGCTTCCTGACTTCATCCAGAGGAATTTTCAGTCATTCATCCATTAAAACCTTCTCCAGCTCTTTACGAGATGACGGTGGAGGATAGCGGCTCCTAACTTGTTTCTCCAAAATGCACCACAAATGATCAATAATATTGATATCTTGAGATTGGGGAGGCCACTCCATGTGTTCTAGCTCACTTTCATGCTCTTCATACCAATTTTTAACCACTCAAGCGGCATGTATTGGAGCATTATCATCTTGGAAGATGCAGTCACCATCAGGGAATAAAGTCTTGGCCATTAGATGAACATGATCTCCCAAAATGTTCAGGTAATCTTTGTTGATTCTACCATGCAGGACAACTATTGGACTGAGACATTTCTATGATATGGTGGCCCAAACTATCACTGATCCACCTCCATGCTTCACTGTTGGAAGAAGGCAGTCAGGGTTGTAAGCTTCTTTGGGCTGCCTCCACACATAAACTTGCCCTGAAGTTGCGTAAAGAGAAAAACTGGACTTGTTTGGGAATATGACTTGCTTCCATTGGTCTGCAGACCAGGCATTGTGATCTCTGTGCCACTTCAACCTCTTTTGAATATTGTGAGTGAAGAGAAGAGGTTTCCTCACAGCAGCTCTTTCATGATATGCAGCCTTATGGAGCTCACGGTGAACAATTTTAGTAGAAACTGAACTATTCAGATAGTTATTCAACTCAGCAGTCACTTCGGCCGCATTTGTCCAATGATTTTTTGCCACATTGTGTTTCAATGCACATCAGTCCCTGTCAGTAAGTTGGCCCAAATTGCCCAAATTTCTAGAGGTCTTGCCCTGTTTCTCGAATTGCATCAGTGTTCTTGATATGGTAGCTCTTGAAAAACAAAACAGTTCAGTAACCTTAGTGTTCGAGGCTCCTGCCATTCAAGCTCCAACAATTTGCTCTTTTTCAAACTTGGAGAGGTCACGCATTTAGCTTAAATTTTAAAACTAAATAAGACAAAGACAGTAAATTAGATAAATAAACATATTTAAAATAGACATAACTTGCAATTACAAAGTTTTAGTTAAAGTTCTTAATGTAATAGGCCTTTGGAGTGGATTTTGAAACTGTTTCAATTATTTTGTCCAACTCCTTTATATATATATATATATATATATATATATATATATATATATATATATATATATGAACATAAATGTGTGTTATGTTTTTGTATTTCAGCCTATTGAATGGCTTGTGTTTTTCATTTGATGTTAGGCAATGTTCTGTACTGTTCTTGTGCTGTGGACTGTGATTTGTTATATATATATTTGCTTAATGACAACTAACTTTACTGGCTTTAGCATGGCTATTTTATGGCAAAATGGTTGTGACACTATGCTTGGGGCACCCACATAGAATGTTTCTGTTTTATGGCTGGTAGATTGTCAGGGTCTTTGAAGGCGGATCTTCTAAATGAAGTGAAGACCTGAGCTGTTAGACAGACATATCAGCGGTTGTCACAAGCATCACCTATCTACCTATCCAGATCAAGCCTTGAATAAAAACTCCTGTTTTGTGATACAGTATAATCCCTCATATCTGGAATCCCTCATATCTGGATTCCCACATATCCGGACATGATTTTGATGTGTATATTTGAACTGTTTGGGTGATATGTTACTGATTTGAAAATTCTGTTTTTCAGGAAATTTATTTTGGATATTTGCTTATGCTTATGCTAACCCTAACCCTTATTTCATCCTAATGGCTTGTATTGGTGCAAAAGATGATGGGAATAAGAAGGAAAAAAACAACTTTGGTGTTATTGCAAAAAGCAGAAATTTTAAACAAACTAGACACTGGTGAAAGTTCATTGTAACTAATGGCTGAGTTCAACATTATATGATATAAAATCTTCCAAAGAAACTATTCTCCAACATTCACACTGTCACAATGAATAAGGGAATAAAAAAGCATGATTGTGATGAAACCTGGACTGACAGTGAAAAAGCTATTGAAAAGGTTATCAGTTTTATGGAAAGAAAGCCAGCATTCAGCTATGACGATTGCAATAAGACACACAGCATTAAAAAGTGTCTTTCATTTAAAAAATTTAAGAACAAAAGCAAAACAAAATGCAGAAAAAGTAGAGAATGACATTAGAAGAGAAAGAATCATCATGCAACAGCGATAAAAAAATCCTTGTTGCATTATTTGTTTTGCATCTGTGACATAATTTAATGAATTTTCATTAACATTTTACATAATTTATTTCTTTTTCATTAAAATCAATTCTGGTATATTTCACTCACCATTAGCTTATTTTGTTTACTATAAAACATTGAAAATAAATGTTAAACCTGATTCCAGTTCTTTTATTTTAATCTAAATATAACCCATCATATCTGGACTTTGTAATCAATTCCTTATTTCTGGAAGGTCTTCTTAGTCCGGTTGTCAGGGATTCTACTGTAGTGAAAACAAGCTCCAGGTTCTCATTTCTTGATGTGGCATTTGTTTTCATTTTTCATCCCTTGTGAACATACAATTATCCTTTCCCACTTTTTGGTGAACACCAACATGAATGAAAATTGAGACACAATGTAGAGGTTGTCACTGGCTGGTCAGTAGAAAGCTGAATGAGGTTCTCATTGTATGTTTACAGAGGTCAGTATATAGACTCCAGAGTAGCAGGTCTCTATTTTGCATCAGATTAGTTAGAAAATAATAATCAGCAGTCGTATTGTATGTTCCCAACTACCTATGCAAGGTTCATACTTTTAATATTGGCACTATAAGCTAGTTTTAATAGGTCTGTTTCATTAGGTAATAAATGCTTCCTTTCTAATATTAATTTATAGTTTAACTTTTGGTAGCCTTTGAGTTGATGCAGTAATAGCTATAATTATCCAAGCCATTGGAACATAATTGAAATTCATGACAGTTGACTTTTAATACTTGATTTCATCAATTGTTCTTGCAGCTATGATGACATTATGTGAGGATTTGAGTGCCTGTATAGTGACATGCCTATAAGTTGATAGAATTAAAATGAATTTGTGAATCTAAATGGATTCTGCACTTAATGACAGAATTCTGAAGAGTGAATTAAACATTCCTTTTTTTCTGATCTATGCTGTCTACTCACTGTTGTAGAATAACAGACTGAGTAAAGATAGGATAAAAATTGGTTAAAAAATTGACTATGAAATTTGACACTAGTCAAAATTAATAATGATTTTTTTTTTGGAAAATTTTTTTTTTTTTACAAAGTTTGAAATTCTACTTACCCAGATTGGTCTTCATACTTGAAGTTATTCAAAAGCTCCTGATAATCTTCAAAGTTGGCTCTTCTTAATTGCTCTTGAGCCATGGCTAATATACTGCTAGCTGGTATCTCCATTGCTAATGTATCATCAGTGTAGTGACGAGCAAGGATGATAAGTTCATGTTCAGTGATTTCTGGCAGTAATTCACATATCACTGTCTTGAGATCTGAGAAACCAATTTGGTCATTGTCTTCATTGGCTGTGCTTAATAATTTCTTACCCAAAAGACCATTTTGCTCTTTGTTTATTTTATGAAGTTGTGCAAGTAAGGTCTTCAAATTTGATTTGGGAAACTGAAATTTAGAACATATAATATATATATATATATATATATATATATATATATATATATATATCCCAGCTGGTTATGTAAGTCTTAATAAAATGGATATGGCTTATCAAACAAAAATACATCAAAATTTTAATTCACTCTGACAAAGTCAAATCTGGTGATAAAAGAAAAAGAATAAAACAATTATCATAGATGTATTTTAATACCAACTGCATTTGAATCATCAATTGTAAAACAAAATGACAGAATCTCTGATTATTAGCAAGAGAAATAGCTCAAGTTATGTGCTACAAATTGGAGATGTCAGAATCAAATGAATAAGGAAACTTAACTATCTGAGGTGTTATAACAAGATATTTTCATTAGAAACAAAGAAAATAGTGCTGAACTGCTATATAATATCTATCTTTTATGGTGGTGAATGCTGGACAATTTCCTCACGCATAAAGAGACTAAGAGCTATAGTTGTCGTTCTACAAAAGGATGATGAGAATACCATGGATGAAACAGGTGAGCAATGAGGAAGTTTTAAAGAAAATATAAACAAACAAGATGCCAGTGTTTAGGATCAGAAAAGAATAATTGAAATTTCTGGAACATATAATGGGGAATGTCTGTTTAGAAAATTTGATACTCAAATGTTGACTTTGTGAGGTATCAGTTATTTTGGCAGTTTCAAATTGCATCCACTAGAAAGATTTTCTTGTCAGAGAATATTTTAAAAATGGATTCATGATTCTTTAAGTACCTAAATACTTTCTTGCACCTTTCCAGCCTCCAGACCTCCATGGACTGCATTAGAAGGATTCTTGGCATCCTGGTATATATTTTAAGGTCCATATCATCATGCATGACCATTCTGACAGTCTTTATGCATGAATGCTGTTGGGTCAGTTGTAGTTTTAGTCCTTAGGGCATTAATAAAATCCTAATTCCACTTTATTATAGACAGTGCATAAAGACACCAACAATGATGCGGATGCTTTTAGTATCACTTTGTGTGTGAAACAAGTCTGACACTTTATAATTTACTAGCAGTAGAGCCCAGCGTTGCCCGGGGATATAACAGTAAGAGATAGATCAAGTATCGACCATCATGAAGACTGAAAAAATAAAATTTACAAAGATTATTGTTTAAGGTTGATGGACACGCATGTCTTAATTAGTTTTTTTTGTTTTTTTTTTTTTTCAAACCCAAACTTTAATTGTTTTCAATCGTTATGAGTCTACCGATTGAATAGAATTTTATTATAAACAATTGTCTTGTAAATGGAATTTTTAAAGCATTCTGAATGTAAAAATAAAGAAAAAAGTGTGCAAGACAATAAGAAACACTACCTGCCAAAAAAAAGTGAAGTTTTGTTGAAATCGGTTGAAAAATGTAGGAAATCCGATCCCATATATATAAAGAAACACACACACACACACACAATCTGAGTTTTATAATAAGTATAACTCGATATGAGTTGTCCCCCTTTCATTCTCGTGACAGTGATGCCTCTTAATTGTGTTTTCAAATTGATTTCATGCAAAAACAATTGTGTTTTTCCAATTTTTGGCACTGTCAGAACCACCGCAAGGTAATTTTACACAGTCCTTTGAAGTTTTGTTGAAATAGGTTGAAGAATGTAGGAAATCCGATCCAATATATAAATGTACAGACACACACACACACACACACAATCTGCATTTTATAATAAATAAGATTTTCTGCGAATCCATTTTTTACAATATTTCTGAAAAGGAAGGTTTAATACACACCATGATTGGATAGTTTTATTTGACATTTGGTTTCACACCATTTGGTGTTGTGATTGGTGGGAAATATGAATTTAAATTTTTACTATAGCTTTGATTCCCCACCAAATATATATGTATTTATATATTTACATTGTTCAGACTATTGCCATATTCACGCTGCATGCTCCGGCCTTCTTCAGGTGATTGGAATTTTGAACTGAACCATTTATTTTGTCCATGGGGGTAGATTGTTCTAGTTCCAGGTGCCATACCTCTTCCAGGTCTCAGTTATTCCCCTTTAACTCAACTTTCCATATTTTTGTTCACCACTAAATTTGCCAGGTATTGAACTCACAAGTTTTTGGTCAAGTCAATGGATCCAACAAACACTGTTATTTACTCATCAATGTGTCCTCAAGTAGATTTATATATTTACATTATCCAGTAGTCACTGCCATAAAAGGTAGATATTATATAGCAGTTCAGCACTAGTTTCTTTGTTTCTAATAAAAATGTCTTATAACACTTCTCAGATAGTTATGTTCCCTTATTCAATTGATGAATTTGTGTATATATATATATATATATATATATATATATATATATATATATATATATATATATATTGTGTGTGTGAGCTGATAAAATGCAAGGTTTTTTATCTGAATATTTTTCTTCTAAACTATCTTGTAAAAGTGTTCTACTATGTTTTTTCATCTGAAACTTGATGCCTTCTATCCTTATTAAAAAGTAATATATTCTCTATATCTTCCTATATTTTACCAGGACGTGGATGATCATGGCTCTCCCCAATTTCCTGTCTTTTTTGCTATAAGTAACCGTTGCCCTTTTATAACTCTTCTTTAACTTTGTGGCTCTTGCATCCATTTAACTTAAATACATTAACTAGGTTACTTGTTCTTTCTCCTTGCTTCTCTTGCTTTCATATATCTTGTGAATGTTAAATTCTCTAAGCCTTCTTTCCTTATATAACCCCAAAATTTCAGCTGATACTTTCTAATCATTAGCATCAGTTTCTTTGTTGCTTTAAATCATTCTATCTCATATGATTCATTTATAGTATACAAATTCATATCAGTGACATAGATAAATATATATTTCAAAAAACAATGAATAAAAGTACCAATCATGTTGAAGGCATATCTATAATTTTTCCCGTCAAAGTTTCTTAAGAAATATATTGTTAGATATGTGTTTATGCACTACACAGAGACAGGTTTGTTGTAAAACTGATTCTGACAGAATTGAACCCCCACTTCATTTCTCTCTTTCTCTTTCATTCAATGCCAAATTATTTGTTGCAAAGCCACAATATAATACAACCTTTTTGTTGTTTTTTCTCCTGCAAAGACATTGCAAATCATCAAAATTAAAATAATAGAATTCAGACAGGCAAAAAGAAATGTTATTTTCAAAAGAAATTTTGTTTTTTATGAATTCATTTCAAATTAAGGAAAATGGTGTTTTTTCTTGTTAAATGTAGATAGATGTATGAATGTTTATGACACAATTAAAAAATGTAAACAATAGGATTTTCTTTGTGTACTATCAAAATAAATAAATAACTTCATATTTCCCATTTCCAAATTGTAAAGCTACAAAGGAAAAAATGTTATGTTTTGTTAATTATCAAATCTATTATTCAGCTTATTTCTGTTTTCAGCGGTTATATTTTTCGACTACTCTGTTAGATATTTAAAAAAAAAGTCTTGTCACTGGCATGCCACAATGATGAACAAAAGAGTACGTTTTCAAGCACTTAACTAAACTACACTCTGATTACTGAAAGCCTTCAAACAGGACAAAAAGAAAGTAATTAAAATCATTGTCAACGTTGAAAGTTTACAATGAAGATATGGCATTAAAAGACAACACGAGATAATTTTTTGACGACTCTAAAGTTAACCAGTTTTTTTGAATTGAAAACATTTCTCTGAATGCACAAGTTTTTCATATTACAAAGCAAATCAATATAGCTCAAGTAACGCATGGGAGGTAACTTTAGTTATTAAATACAGGGTTATTTCCCTTGAACTAAATCTGCAGATTTACTTAAGATTTTTAGGTATTCATTCTTGAAAAAGAGTACCTATTTAGCAATGACGATTTGTGGGTCTGTCTGGACAGTATCCAGACATTCAATAAGTAAAAAAAAAAAACGTTAGACCTACTCTTATATTATATGATTTTATAGGATTATACTGATATTGATAGTAACAAGGCTGTATGTTGCTAAAATGGATTTTACAAGAGAGTTAAATAATTCACAAATGTATCTTTTTTTAATGTTTTTACAGTAATGTTCCCCCAGTACAAGGTTTGGGGGCCAAACGAGGCAGAGGGTTACAATAAGGAGTAGTTTATATGGATAGGAGGGGGAAGAAAACGGTTGATTCTAGACTTAAACAGGTTAAGATTGTAGTGATTGGGGAAACATCTTCTTGGGAGTCTGTTACATAGGGAAGTGATTCGTAGGAAGAAGCTGTTTGAGTAGAACTTACTTCTGGCTGATGGATTACGAAGATAATATGGGTGGGGTTTGCTACTATGTAAGTGGTATGGTGGGTCCTAGCTATGAAGGTCAGATCTGGTGGAATCAAGAGATGCAGTTCATCCGAGCACTTTCTATGGTAGTAATGATAGAGCAGTGAGAGACACGCCACATCCCACCTGTGAGAGAGAGAGGTTGGTATGTGGAAAATAATTCTTCTCTCACAAGGACTCGCAGATGCTTTTGAACTATATCAAGACTAGAAAGTGAGGTCTGGGCAGCTCCTGTCCAAATATGGCAACAGTTTTCCATTTGCAGTCTGATCTGGCTCTTACAAAGGTAGCATATAACATGAGGAGTCAGATATTTACTGGAGCAGTACAGGTAGCCAATCTTTTTACCTGAATCTTTAGTGATGAATTGTATGTAGGAATGAGGTTGGGTGAAAGTTTGAGGCCCAATCTTCTCTCAAGGCATGGGGCCTCCTCAAGGGGACAGCTGTTCATTGTAACAGGTGGTAGTTCGGGGTCTGATTAGCAGTGATGGAATGTAACCAGTTTGGCTTTAGAGGCACTGAATATAACCAGCCAGTTTTTCCTCCACTGGGAAGTTAGTGTTAGATTGGAAGAGAGGTCAGCTGCCAATCTCTGATTGTCAAGACTTTTAGAAGTGCACACATATATTGTCGTATCATCAGCATAGATGTTTACAAATGGTCAGAGTATATTCTTACGTAGATCATTCATGTAAGTCAGAAAGCAGGTTGGTCTCACTAATTCCATATGTAATGGTAGTTAGGACATCAGCAGTAGATTGGGCTGATCAAAACGCATACCTCTCATTGCACAAGATGTTGTTCCTATCCAGATGTTCAACGACCTTCATGGTGATTAAGGCCTCAAAAGCTTACTCATGAAACTACTGAGACTAATGGGTGTATACTGAGAGGGGGAGGATCAATTCCCTGTGTTCTTGAAGACTGGGTATACACTTGTCACCTTCCTTGGGAAAGATTTCTCATTCAGGAATTGTATGTTTACAGAGGTCAGTATATAGACTCCAGAGTAGCAGGTCTCTATTTTGCATCAGATTAGTTAGAAAATAATAATCAGCAGTCGTATTGTATGTTCCCAACTACCTATGCAAGGTTCATACTTTTAATATTGGCACTATAAGCTAGTTTTAATAGGTCTGTTTCATTAGGTAATAAATGCTTCCTTTCTAATATTAATTTATAGTTTAACTTTTGGTAGCCTTTGAGTTAATGCAGTAATAGCTATAATTATCCAAGCCATTGGAACATAATTGAAATTCATGACAGTTGACTTTTAATACTTGATTTCATCAATTGTTCTTGCAGCTATGATGACATTATGTGAGGATTTGAGTGCCTGTATAGTGACATGCCTATAAGTTGATAGAATTAAAATGAATTTGTGAATCTAAATGGATTCTGCACTTAATGACAGAATGCCGAAGAGTGAATTAAACATTCCTTTTTTTCTGATCTATGCTGTCTACTCACTGTTTTAGAATAACAGACTGAGTAAAGATAGGATAAAAATTGGTTAAAAAATTGACTATGAAATTTGACACTAGTCAAAATTAATAATGATTTTTTTTTCTTGAAAATCTTTTTTTTATGTCTGAGCATACACTTGCCACCTTCCACATGCTTGGGAAAGATTTCTCATTCAGGCACTGGTTAAATAACTTTGCTAGAATTGGGGATAATTCTGGAGTGATATTCTTAAGGATGACCACTGGAATTTTGTCTGGGCCAGTGGCTTTTTTGGGATTGAGGCTTTTGATAAGTCTAGAGATTTCTCTTATTGAAATGAGTATATTACTGAGATTGAGATAAGGGAAGTTGAGAAAAGGATTTCTTCTGTCATCTAATGTTGAGTTTGCAGCAAAGATCAAGGTGAAGAGCTTCACTATGTCTGGTCTTGAGGCCATTTATAATAGTGGGCACAGCCGGTTTGCCTCTGTTCATGATCTGGTTGGTGATCTTCCAGAATTTGCAAGATCCAATTTGTTTATTTTCAACCTTGCCCTGAACAGATCACATGTAGCTGCACTTTGAATTTTCCAGGATTCTCTTACATGGATTGCAGACATTTCTAAAAGAAGTAACGGACAGATTACACTGCTCCTTGTAATAGATTTTGAAGAAGTGGTTCCGACAAGATATGGCTTCAGTGCTTTCAAGGGTGAACCAGGACTGACTGTTTTTTTGCTGAAATTTTTTGGAGGTATAAAACACTCCATTCTAGAAAAGATGCATTTGAAGATTAGAGCAGCAGTTTGGGGGGCAACATGTTTGAAAAAGTTTGGGGGACAAGCATTCAACATGTAGGACTTAAGGCTGTCCCAGTCTGCCTTCACATAGCGAAAAACCATACAATGGAGAACATGTATCCCAAATATATTTCTCTACACTGAATCAAGTGCCAAAAGATAGGTGTGGGAAAAGTACAATAGAATTGGCTCAATGTAACTGTTAGTTCTATGTTAACAGTCTTTTTTCTTGCACTTCTCACTTGTGGAGCTTCTGGCTTTTCAGTCAAGTTTGATCTCCAAAAATTGAAATGCTATGTCAGTTATTATCTACTTCTTTCCTCATTACTCTTCTATTGTTCCTACTCCTCAGTAATGCTTCTGCTTTTAAATTCTTTCACATACAGTTAACCATAGTAACTTAGTGGCTTTACTGCCTTTCTTGGGGTGAATTAAATTAAAAAAACATAAATATAAGTTTCTACTAAACTATGAGATTTGCATTGTTGACACTTCATCAACACCAGGTAACTTTATTTTTATAATTCATATTAAAAATTAACATTTAGGCTTTCTTAAAAGCTAGCAAGTATTAAAAGCAGGAAAGATTATACAAGAATTAATTTATAACAATTATTGGTTTGAAGCAAAAATTTGTTGTGTTTTTCACTGGGTGGCATTTGAATATGTAGCTGCATTGTTTTGTTTATTGAACTGGAATGTTTTCTTGTGTTTTAAGGAGGTTATATATTGATGCTATAGATAATAGTGAATAGCATGTCTGATTCTGTAGAATCATCTGGCACCGATTTTACAAGGAGATAATTGTATTAACTGCTGTGTGTATCACTTGAAGCTTACCTCATCTGGATGTGATTCCATATATTTAAAGGTGTATTCATCAGCATCAACGATGGTAAATTTGTGGGTGTTGAAGTTCACTTTTTGACCAATGAACAGATCCTGGGCTTTGTAATATTCTGACAGGGTGACATTATTCAATGGTTGGTCAGGCTTTTTGATTCGAGATCTTTCCAAAAACTTACCACCTGCAATTCCTAATTCAGGTAAAGGAACAAAAGAAACACAAAAATTAATGCAAATGGAACTTTAATTTTGAAAATGTTGCAAACAAAATAAATTTAATGTATATTTAATGTGGTTCTCCCTTCTATTAAAAAAATCTGTCATTTTAAATCATGTATTTAATGATAAATGCCCTATCACTGATAGTGAACCTTCTCTCCACACCATAAATATAGAAAAATTTAAACCATATCTATCTATCTATCTATCTATCTATCTATGTCACTATCTATATATATATATATATATATATATATATATATATATATATATCAACTTTCTCAGAATTAACCTGTAGAAAAAGACAATAGGTAAAGTAGTTTTAGCCAATACGTTTCATCCAATGTGGACTTTTTCAAGGCAAAAAGCGAAATTAATTTATTGAAACAAAGTATCTATAAAAAAAACAAATACAATGTTGTTAACAACTAGAAGAATTTAAAACACTATTATATATTTATATGGTGAACTGAAAAATTATGTCAATAACTTTGAAGAAAATATTTTCACGTATAGAAATATTGTTTGTATTGATGTGTTCGCGGATTCAACTGTTTTCTTTTGATTTCTTGATATGTTTGTCATGTACGTTGACTTAGGAAAGCAGTGATTCTGTTAGGAAAGGTGATATTGGGAAAAAACTGCACATAGATTAATATTTGGACAATATTCAATGGCAGCACTCTTGAGGATTTTTCTTCTGAGGGAATTATTTTCTTTTTTATGACTGTAGCATAAATTCAACCACAATTTTGATTTTATAAATGCTACACTCATAAAAAAAGAAAATAATTCACTCAGAAGGAAAATCCTCAAGATTGCTGCCATTGAATATTATCCAAATATTAATCTATGTGCAGGTTTTTTTCCAACGTACACAACAAATATATCAAGAAATCAAAAGAAAACAGTTGAATTTTTTGTTTTTTATAGATTGATTTCGTGTTTTGCCTTGAAAAAGTCCACATTGGATGAAACGCATCATGTAAATCTACAGTTTTCCTATTGTCTTTTTCCTACACACACACACACACACACACATACACACACACACACATATATATATATATATATATAAACAGTATTTGTTAAGTTCAACTTAATAGGTCTGTCTAAATCATTTTTTTATTATCTTTTCCCAATTTCTGAATAACTTATCATGTGTTAAAAACTTAGTGTAATTTGTATACACCAATTATCACCTCACAAACACTAAATTATGACTAATAATTTTAGACAAATATTTATAGATAATACTAAAATATTATAATACAAAAGAAACAACTCGCATTAAATAAGGTAATTTTCTCTACAGATGGTATATTGAAATGTGTATAAAATATTCAATATATGTATGATATATTTAATACATATACAAAAAAAATAATAACACGTATAAATATATTGATACATGCTTTTCTGCTTAAATATATTTTATGGCACTTTGAACAGATTCCAATTCCAGTTATCTAAAAGTTCCAGGATTTATTAAAAAAAATGTTTACCACACTGAAAACATTTGATTTTTGATAATGACTGGGATTGTGAAAAGTTCTTGTACAAAAAACGTAAAAATCATGTAATGTGAACAATTTATTTCTTAATTAAATCCTGATATAAAGATCATTTGAAAATTGGAAAATATAATGAAAAGAGTTTAAAACTATTTTTAATGTATTTCTCTTCATCATGTAAATTTTGACACCTACAAATTTGACGTGTTTTTAAATTTATTCTGGATTTTATTTTGTTGTAATGGTGTGAATAGAAGTTTATGAAATCATTTCTCTTTTGATAGAAGTTTAGTTTTAGATCATTATCAGTACAGATTAACATGATATCAAGGAAAGGTAATGTATTGTTTCATATGTAAATTTAATTGAATGCTTGATACTGTTTAGTTTATTTACAAGATCAGGTTATATTTTTCTGTGGGTATATATTAATTAAGCATCATCATCATATCAGAAGTATGTTAATTGTTGTGGTAAAATATTTTAGAAAGGACACTAGAAATTCTAATATATATGACCCCATCCATTATTACTCTGAAGAAGTCATTTTGAAGGATAGGAATTTTTCCAATTTTGTCATTCAATATATATATATATAAATATATATATATATATATATATATATATATATGCATGGATCATTTCTTTTAAAACCTGAAACCTATTAGGGTCGTCGGCACCACATGTATTGCTGCAGCAGTAGCAATAGTGTTTCCTGGGCAAAACAAATTGCTTGAGCGACACCAACTCTTTCCAGGTTGGTTTTGAATTTAGAGTTTTTCCTTCTCCTAGAGCAGTTGCCACCCAAGGCTATATGACCCAATATGTTTTGTGATTTAGATATAGCTGGGGGTGGAGAAGACATGGATTCATGCTTTCCTAAGGGCATTAACATATAAATGAATATAATGAACTTGACTGAAATTTGAAATTGGCTCTCTGATACCTCAATCTGTGACACTGTCTATTACTCCACCATGCCTCCATATATATATATGTATATATATATATATATATATATATATATATATATATACATATATATATATACATATATATATATATATATATATATATATATATATATATATATATATATATATATATATATATATATATATATATATATATATATATATATATATATATATATATATATATATATATATATATATATATATATATATATATATATATATATATGCAAATATTAATAAAAGACATGACAACAGGAAAGCCATGTGAATATGTTTTATTCCTGGAAACTTCTTAAAAGACAAATGAAGAAAATTTATTAGGAAAAACATGTATTTATATAAACAAAGAAAGTCTAATCTGGAAAAAATGATAAATATTCAAATGTAAATTATGGAATATTCTAAAATATTTGAAAATTTCTCAATTTTAATGAGAAGGTAAAGTAATCTATGGCAGATGTTAATGTAACATTTTGTTCAGAATGTTCAAATCTCTTTGTATAGTTACTGCTATTAATAGTATAACTTTGAGAAGAGTCATTATTCTATCTAAAATTGTTCAGATGATGAAAGCAGCAGTCAAAATTTTGTCTTAAAAGCTTTAGGAAAGATTTTAGTACTGAAGAATGTTGGGTAGAATAAGAAAAAGAAGTTCTTTATGGAACAAAAAATAACCAACCTGAATTCCTTACTGAAGGTTCAAAGATACTGATAGTATCATCTGAGAGATAATAGCTAATAATGAAGTTCCTGTTTTGGTTGTCAGGGTTGTTTGAATCCAGTTTGGCCTTAAATTGTAGCACATGGCTCTCCAGACCATGTTTGTCTTTCTCCATAAACTTCATGAAATTCTTCTGTGGGGGTTTAGGAATAATGGATTTACAATTGCTCAAAGAATCCTCTTCACTGCCAAAGCCATTGTATGGAGGATAGTGGCTATCCCTGGCAATGTTGTCTTTCTTTTTGTATTCAACTGGGTTAAATGTGGCTGATTGAAAAAGATAAAACAGATGCAAAATAATAAAACAAATCTAAAGAAATTAGAGAATTAAACAATGTTTATTTCTCTACTTTAAGCCAAGTAGATTTTATTCATTTTTTGTAAGGAAACAAATTTAAAAATTAAATTATCAAGTAAATTGGTGATGATGATAATCATTTTGAATAAAACTAAGCTTGGTAAATTATTATTCATTTTTAAGTTGAATGATAATCCAAGAATTGTAATAAAAAAGCAGCAGAAATAAAATGAAAGAAATTCTAGTTAAAAATGAACCGTAATGGAAAGTAGTTTATCTCATTATAAATTTAAAATAAAATTACATTTCATACTACTGGTGTATGTAAACATTAGAAAAAATGATGGCAACACATCAGACATTTGGAGAAAAATGAATCATGATATAGTTAGATTTTTGCTTCTGTAGCTGATAGTTTTTGTGGCCCAATTGATAAGACAGCTGCTCTAGATAAGTAGATTTGTATGGGTAAAAGGATATAAGTTCAAATTGCTTCAATATTTTATTCACTATTTTCGCACACAATGCTTACTTGCAATCATAGAATTAATGTCTGAGAGATGAAAAAAAAGTTATTTTCTTTTTTACTCATTCACCAAATACAAAACCAAGACTCATTTAAGTTATACGGTTACTGAATGAAGTTGTTGCATAAATGTAAGAGTGAGGGGTATGATCTCTGGCTTATAAGGACATGTTGGGAAGATAATAGTTGACCCTAGATTTGAAAGGTCAAGATTGTTGTAATTGGGGAAGCATCCTCTCAGGAGTCTGTTTCATAAAATAGCAGTTCTTGAGAAGAAGCTTTCTGAATAGACCTTTCTACTTACTAATGGTATATGACAAGAATGGGAGTGATTCATCTGTATGTACGTGGCTTGGTAGGTCATAGCTGTGAAGATTTGAACTGCTAAGATTTTATAGGTACAAGGAGCTGAACTTTTAAGATTTTATAAGTACAATGCAATCAATACAAAATTACTTAAATATTAACTACATTTTTTGATGGTATAGATAAACACTTTATAATATAGATTACTATTATTACTTTTACTATTACTATGACTGATAAAAGTATCTTGTATACTTACAAATTCCAAATTTTGTTTTGTAATATTCTCGAGTAAAATTGTCACAGTCACAAATTAAAAATGGCCGACCATACACATTGATCGTATCTCCAAGATGTAAATCTTGTGAAGTGTAGTATTCAATATTTATTTCACCTGTCTTGAAAGAAAGAACAGAAAAAGATGAATATGCAGAATACATATGGATATAGAAACGTTACTCAGAGTAATATATCTTACTGGATGAAATATTTTGTTTATATTAGAAGTATGGGGTTGAAAAAATATATGTAGCATTTTTCAATTTGAACACATTATTTCATTTTACATGTGACTGAAATTTATAACATATATACATTTTCTGAAAGGTGACATTACAATGCGTCTTGCTATTGTGAATTTTTAAATTTTTTTATGTTAGAAATGATAATGGTGGAAAACTAGATGCTACTTTATTTCTGGAAAGTAAAACACTACAATCAGCAAAAAAAATATGTGCCATTTATGAAGTTGGTGTCATAGCTGAGAGTACTGTTTGTAAATGATTTGCTAAGTGGATATTTTGATCTGGAAGACTGAAAACATTCTGCAATTATTGATGACCAGATTGAAATACTGATTAAAAATAATCTCTGTCACATGATAAGGGACAGTCCAGAAATGTTCCATAATACATCTATGTACAAAAATCTAAATATTGTCCTTGAGATTCACATAAAAATGTTATAGACTTTTGTTCTGGACCAGTATTTACAGTAATTTATTTGCTTGTGGGAAATAGTGAGTAACTTACCTAATGAGTTTGAATACAAGTGAGTAACTTAGCTAATGAGTTTGTCATATACCATTAGTAAGTAAAAAGGTCTATTCAGAAAGATTCTTCTCAAGAAACTTACCTAATGTGCTTGAAAATGAAGTTTGAAGTATGTCAGAGTAGAAGCAAAGAGACATATTAAAGAGTCAAATGTTGCTGAGAGCAACAAGAGAGAGGAAGATGTGAAGAGTCATGATCATCTATATCCTGTAAAGACACAGCACATGAAAAATATCCCCACCCTTGTTTTTATTATCCTATTTTGGTAAAAAGCATACTCTAAATTTCAATAGCAAAAGGGTTTTTGTTTAAATTTTGTTAGGTCTAGATGTTTTAACCATTATCAGTTGTGTTCTTTGAATTGGCCCAGAGCAAAAGTTCATTTCATAATGCTTTTGTAATATTCTTTTATTCCCATATTCTTGATTATCAAAGGACAAAAATTTGTGTAGGCAGAAGAAACTCAACAACCATTGTGAAAAAACAACTACATGTACTGAAAAAAAGAGAATATCATCAGAATATTTTTCTTTCTTGCTATGCAATCATAATTGTTTGAAATATTTAAAGGAAAAATTCCTAAAAGATTACAAGAGGATTTACACCCTTACAGAAAGCAAAAATATGTATCAGTTAAAGGAATGTAGTCAAAATAGGAGAAAAGAGTAAATTAGGTTAAAGTACTTGAGAAACAAATTTAATGACTACTTATAATATAGGTAACTAAATATAGTTAGCTATATTTAATGATTTCTTTATCTACCCATCCACAGTGATATAAATATCAAGACAATATGCTAGTAGATGTACTTTTTACTAGTGTAAAATATAATCATAGAAAAAGGATGATGAACAAAATAGTTTAAGGAGAATAGCAATTAAAAATTTTTCTCATTTTTGTTGCATGCATAAAATCTCTCCTTATATCTGTCTGTGTTTTTGTATCTAAGCTCATATCACCAGTATATGAAAAGCCAATTTCATTGCATACCTCCAATATCCTCTTTCTCAATAGCAGTGCAGAGGATTAATGTCAGTTGTAATTAGGAATGGAGTTAGGATAAATACTAAAATATGTACCTCTTTTAACACAACTACAAGACAGCTTGTATGGGAAATCAGGCAATTTCTTCTTAAGCAGTTATTTTAAGTTAAACCAATTGTTAAAATTTGAGAAATCATAGCCGCACTTATTATGCACTTACCTTCAAACTATCAAGGATGTACCTGCCTCCAGTGTGCATTGAGCCAAATACATTAAGTACTGTACGGTCAGCTAACTGACCAGGTAGAGGAAGATCTTTGGATATCTGAAGAAGAAGATTTATAAAAATTAGTAAATAACATTTTGTTTTTTTTATCTACTTATATAGATACCTACATATATATGGTTTGTTTAATATGATGAATATCTGAAATGGAAGATATCTATCCTACTGTATTGCAGTGAATGCTGGGCAATTTCCTCAAATATGAAGAAGAGACTTGAAGCAACAGAAATATGGTACTACAGAATGATGCTGAGGATGTCATGGATGTAATATGTGAGCAATGACAAGGTTTTAGAGAAAATGGAAATAAAAAGGAAACTTATACTTAATATCAGGAAGAGATGTTAAGTATAAGTTCCCTTTTTATTTCCTTTCTTCTGGCTTCTGGCAGTTGAAGTTTCTGGGACACATACAGAGGAAGAAGGGCTTGGAAAATCTGTTACTCACAGGATGGATTGAGGGCAAGAGGGACAGAGGAAAACAATACTTGACAAGTTTGAGAAAATGGCGGGCAGAGCAGAGATTAGAAATAACAAAAAGAATTTATTTAAAGCTGCAAGGGACTGGAATTTGTGGAGAGCCATAATCACCTATGCCCTGAGGGGACTTGTCATAAAGAGAGAGAGAGAGAGATAGAGAGAGAAAAAAGACATAAAATTTTATAATCAATGCCTGAAAAGCAAGTTGCAAACATTTGCAAGAGATGTCTGAAATGTAAAGTACAACCATTTACTAATCCAATATTTTCATTATTGTACCAATGAAACATTGTATATGTGTTACCAGCACTAATGTTCTACTTTTCAATGTAAGTCTCCATTGAGATTGATGCACTTGTCCCATCAGTGCACAAGTGTATAATTACTATCCTTGAGCAACATGATTTCAAGAAACTGGACCCATCTCACTTTTATCTCTACAGCAACAGAAATGCTTTTCAGATAAATATTGTTCAAAGTTTCAAATATATGATAATCTGAAGAAGCCAAGGTTGATTCCAGAACCAGGAAATAGACATCATTATTAACCTCTACCCCAATTATTAAATGTTCAGCAATCATTAAAGAAAATTGATGGCAACATTGTTTCTGAGATGTGTACAGCTCATGGATTTTATATAACATCATCTGACAGTTAATACAATCAGATACTATGAAATGCTGGACAGACTGAAAGGAAACAGTTTGTTGAAAGAGAACAGAACTTTTACATAAGAGTATATTCTTTTGTATTACTAGGCCATCTCATACACAAGCAAATTAACAAAATGGTAGCTCCATTGATCTATTTTAGATGTTTTACCATATCTACTGTGCAGTCCTGACTTGGCTACCTCAGAATGTCATGTTTTGACCATACAAATGACAATTATAAGAGAAGCAATTCCAGCAGAGATGACACTATTGTTGATGAAGTACAAGGGTGGCTGCAATCAATTGAAATCATGTTCTTCGAGTAATGTATTTATCATTTGTACACCTATGGGACAATTATGTCATTCATGATGGTGATATCATGGAGAATATCCTAATAGTTCTGGTAACATATGCAATATTTTATTAGCATAGTAATAAATATTTTAGATCAGTTTGTTTCTTGCTTGGAAGAAAAGAGAATAAGAAGACTTTAGTTAAGAGAATAGGACAATAAAAGAACAGGAGTCAGGAAGATGGAAATTGATGTTTCATTTAAATTATTGAAGATTGTAGGTGATAGGGAAGCAAGAAATCAGAAGAGTTCCACAAGTGAAAAGTGTGAGAAAAAAAACTATTAGAATAGAACATACGGTGGTATTTAGCTAGATCAACAGTAAAACAGTGAGACTTCGTTACCAATCTAGTAGACACTTAGGTTCATGCAATCGAGGCATGAAAGGTTGAAAGCTCATCAGAACAACTGTCATGAAAAATATTTGTAGAAAAGCACTGGTAAGACAAGTCATGGTGGTGGGATAGTGACTGAAGCTGAGATGCCAGGTCAGGATTGATTACATTACAGACAACTTCTTTGAATTTTGTCAATAATCTCGAGAAATATAGTAGGAGCAGCAGACCAAATATGGCAGCAATATTCAGTGCATGGATGATTGGTAGATTTATAAATGTGCAAGATGGATTCTAACAATGAAAATTGTTTGGCATGACACAGTGAACCAACTTTCCTAGCTGTAGACCTAGCAATTGATTCAATAGAATCCCTCCACTTCATATTTACATTTGGACTAATATCCTTATTTTGTTTTCATATTATCACAACATTTTGGCCATTTTGGGTCCTGATCTTCTTCAGGTGTCAATCAAATCCTTTATTTAATAGATTGTGTTTATATCTAGGGATATTTTGTCTTGTTCTTTTTCAGTCCTTACATCAATATATACATTGAATATTACTGCGACATCTGGTCTGGTAATTCTGCTATATAATTAGTGATTCTTGATGAAATCCAAAGAAGAATCTGCAATGTTATTGGTCATGACCTAGCATCTTGTTTTCAGTCTCTTTCCCACAGTTCTAACCTATCTTCCCTGTGCCTTTTCTATAAATATTTTCATATTAATTGTTCTGATGAACTTTCCACTTTGGTACCTAGATTTTATGAATTTAAGCACAGTACTAGATTGGCACCAAGGTTTCATCATTTTACAGTTGAAATAGCTGGATGCAACTGTAAGTTCTATGCTAACAGTTTCTTCTATCACACTTCTCACTTATGGAACTTTCTCCTGGTTTCTTGCTTCCCAGTTAAGTTTGATCTTCAAAAATTTAAATGCAATGTCAGTCATTAACTTCTTAATTCTTGTTTTTTTTTTTTCTTTTATTGCTCTCTCTCCTTAATAATGTTTCCTTTTTCACATATCATCTCATAACCCCTTTCCTCTCATTGCCTTGTTTGGAGTGAAATGTTATTGCTAGCTCTGTTTCAACTAACTTCAAACAATATCATAGCAAATGAATAGTAGTCTATATATTAACCAAATGATTTTGGGGAAATTTTATGATGAATCACTTTCCAGGCATTTTTATGATGAATAAATAACAATAAACTTCTCTGACAAGTTATCATTAATTTATCTTGATAATAAATCATTTCCTGTCCATTTCTAGTGAAAATCATTCTTTAAAAAGACATCATATCTTTATGTGACAAGGCTTCTTTTAATTGTGCTTTAAATTTTATTCCAACTCTTGTGATTCTTATTTACATTTAGACCAATATCCTTATCTTTGTTATTATTATCACAACGTTTTGGCCATTATGCACTTTGACCTTCTTCAGGTGTCTATCACTCTGGGTAACCTTTAGGGAATTTCAAAATGAACTCTCTATTTAATCTACAGAGGTTGATTGTTCTTGTTCTGTTGTCCATGTCTATGGAGGTCTTATTTTGTTCTGTTCCAGTACTACAAATACTTTCTCTCTTTGTATTGAGTTTGTACTACCTGTCCCAAGGTTTGAACTTGCAATTAATATGTTGCCAAATTTATAAACCAACACTTTAATCTATTAGGTTATTGTTCCATAGACAATAGAGATTTTGGACCATGAATACATCTCTTCTCTATTGGTTGGATAGCAGAACAGACTGGGTTCTTTAGCCTTGGTTGGCAACCAGTCTACCCCAAAAAGAAATAGAAACCCACTGCAGGAAAAAAATCTGCCTCGTCAGTCATGTATCGAAAGATACATGATGGCCCAAGCATGTGTCATGTCTGGCACTTAACTGACTGACTGATAAGTAAATTATTATTATGTCCAAAAGAAACTTGCAATCTAAAAAAAAGAAAAAACGTTCTAGATTTAAATAACCTGCAGAAGGTTGATAAGCTGTAAAATACAAATGAATCCCTGCTCTTGTATGTCTTCCGATTTCTGTGTCACATATTCTATTGACTTTTTGTTACATTCCCAAGATAATTATATTTCTGTACCTGTTTGATTTTAATGTCCCCAATATGCAGCTTACATTTTGGGCTGTCTAAGTTAATGACAAGTTTAGACTAACCATCCATATTAACTGAAACAGTAGTAACTCCACTGACTGCATTGACAGTAATAATAGCTGAGTTAAAACTTTTTCTTGTTTAGATTTTAAGTTTGCTTTCTAATTGTTTCCAGTCTTGGCCTTGAAATCACAACAAAGAATGCACCTTTAAAGATTCAAATATAGACATGGCCATGACCATATTATGAGTTAATAATTTCTCATGGATTTACATTTGAAGCTTCTCAAAAACCTGTTTAATTCTTAAAGCCAAAGAAACAGGAACTTCAGTTAACAAGTGTACATAATTCTTTGTTTTTATTTGGAACAAATTTTATGACTTCCTTTTTCTTATCATCTGCTGGAGCAATTAAACTACGTATGAATTTCTATTTTTGTAGTTTCTTTACTGTTTATTGTTTCTGTCCAGTCATTGTCTATTTCTTGGCAAATGTTCTAGATTGTATGGATGTTGTCATGTCAATAAGAGTTGTAGAAACCATTGGAAACAATCACTTCTATTTGAACAAATGTGGTTGGCAAAAGTTTGAAAAGAATACAAAAATCTATAACAATCTCTATGAAAATCTGCAAGTGAAAGTTGAACCAGGATACATAAATAAATTCACATGGAAATAAATACAAAAAAACTCACACTACAAACATAAAAAAATAACTCAAATAAGCAAACAAAATATATTCTCAAAAATATATAAAAATATAAATACAAACATGCATGCAAATGCACACACACACACACACATATATATATATATATATATATATATATATATAATATGTGTCTCAATGGCTGTTGTGATGCATCTAGTGTAGTAGTCTGTAGTTGTAGTGCTTGTCCCTTCTTGCTTTCAGTTACCGCAGCTGGCTAGTGACAATGCAAAAAGGGGAGCTGAGTGTGTAAATCTTCCCCTGCCAGTATATAGCCTCTCCATAAGCAAGCCCTATGTAGTGCCTCCTCGTGGTGACACATGGCAACCGAGCACCTTGCAGAATCGGGCTAAACTACAGGGGACGGGGGAGGAGTTGGCACCCTTA